TAGATATAGATATAGATATAGACATAGACATAGATATAAATATAGATATAGATATAGACATAGATATATTTGGAAAGCCATCCCCTTCCAAAATCATTTTCAAACATTTCAAATACACAATTTTAATCAATTTAAACATTTCAATTAATTAATAAAAATACAAATTTACTTTATATGTTCGAGAAATTAAATTCAAAATTTAAAATCAATTCACGAATAACAAATCAATTTATTTACTTGAAATTAATTCACAACTTTCCAAAATAATTGCCTGGAGTACAAATTCCTTACATCATTGTAAAAATTTATTTTCTAATGTACAATTTATTTTCAAACAACAAAACCAATTTACTAACTTGCATTGTAATTGACTATTGAGAACATGTTACATAACTCACAAATGTTCAAATTAATTTACAGAATAACGAATCAGTTCACTAGTTTGAATTAATTATTCGTTTAACATTTAATTACCGAAAGGCGAATCTATCTGTGGTTTCAGAATTATTAGGTAACAACGACAAATGTATAGCTTAATTACAAATCTACTCATACAGCTTTCAAAACATTATAAACGTTTACAATCAAAGAGCTCATTTAACACAATCCAATTTATTGCACACTTCGAATCTATTCAAGACCTCTGAAATCACTTACTAACGCTTACAATATTGCGCCCACTCTGTTGTTTCTGGTCGTGTGCGAAACTATCAGGAACTTCGAATCAATTCATAGGACTTGCAATCTATGCACTACACTTTCCGAACCAGCCAACTCACAACTAACTTCAAATCAATTCATTATAAAAGTGCCGGTGCTTCAGCTCGGATGGATACGCTAGTGGTACCACGCTGGCAATCAGCCAATCAGCGCTGGGACAGGGTAAGAATGAGATATCGTATTTGAGTGTATGCGTGCGCTTGAATGTTGTATTTCTCATTAGAAGGTTAGAACTTATTGCAATTGTTAATTTCAGAAAACAAGATCTTTTCTGAATCGACAGTGTAAACGGCTCGTTCGAGGTGCGTTGCTGGTGCGCCGGAAATTTTCAGAAAGAAAGCCTACTTTTTTGTTGCAAACTCACATTGCAAATTGGCCATTTCGAGTGTCTGCTGGGAAAATGTTGTTTACAAGAAAAATTATGGGTATGGAGGAATTTTTTTGGTAATAACATATATTGTGTCACTTGCGACTTGGATTCAGAGGATGGCATTCTTATTTGTAAAAAAAAAATTCTGCTATTTATGGGAATTTTTTTCGCTAAGTATGGCCGCCTATGGAGAATGATTTCCATGCTGGTACCTATTGGCGGATTTTGCACAGGGGAGAGATTCCACAGTGGAATTGGCGGCCGGAAATGACGTCAATTTTTCTAATAAGGTTTTCTAAAAAAAAATTCTAATGATTTTTTAGAGTTAGGGTTAGGTTTAGGGTTAGGGTTAGGGTTAGGGTTAGGGTTAGGGTCACAATGCACCTTAAAACAGGAGTTTGAGAGTTTGAGTCCGTACGGACGTGACGTCATTGAGCGACGATTCGCACCCGGCTGAGCCCCGATTCGCAACCTAGAGCTAAAATTAGGGGTGCCTAGTAAACATATCATATCGCACCTTTCAGCCGGCTGCGACGATTCTGGCCGCCATTGCTGTGTGGAATCTCTCCCCTGTGTCGTACTCCTATTGGCGCTTTCGAGGATCCGAGGATTCGAGGATTTTTACCACCCTGCGGGAAGCGTGGTACTGGTTACTTTGGTAGTAAATATATTTCGTATTTATTTAGCATTATATTTTATTGAAGCGCTCCAAGTGCCTGTGGTCTACAGCAGCTGCTGTAAACAAACACATCTTTCCCGCAGGCGTGATTTTATTTTCTAGGATAATTAAGTAAATAGGGCTCTAGTGAGCGCTGCCATTAGTTGAGCTTGTTTCGTCGCTCAATGACGTCACAGTGTGGTAATATTCATGGCCCATCCATAATTAATAATCCTATTAATCCTGAATAGCCGACCGCGTAGAGCACTAACGTCAGGGCTTAAAGGTCGTTGGATCTAATCCCATCTTTTTTTAAATTATTTTCCTGTTTTCTGTATTTTTATTTCATTTAACTATTTTTTCCAATTAACGCAAATGTTTACATGATTTATTTACAACAATTTTAATAACAACAATTATTTTACAACAATTAAATTTTTTTTTTTAATAGGGTTAGGGTTAGGGTCACAATGCACCATAAAACAAGAGTTTGAGGCACGTGATTTGTATCAACAAATGGCAGCGCTTACTAGAGCCCTATGTTCTTGATTATCCTAGGGAAAAAAATCACGTTTGCGGGAAAGATGTGTTTGTTTACAGCAGCTGCTGTAGACCACAGGCACTTGAAGCGTTTCACTAAAATATAATGCTAAATAAATACGAAATTCTATTTACTACCAAAGTAACCAGTACCACGCTTCCCGCAGGGTGATAAAAATCGGATCCTCGAAAGCTCCAATAGCGTATCCATCCGAGCTGAAGCATCCGGGCACTTTTAGAATGAATTGATTTGAAGTTTAGTGTGTAGTTGGCTGGTTCGGAAAGTGTAGATGAATAGATTGCAAGTGCTATGAATTGATTCGAAGTTTCCTGAATAGTTTGCACACGCGACCGGAAACAACAGGTGGGCGGCAAATTGTAAACGTTAGTAAGTGAATTTCAAGAGGTCTTGAATAGAGAAGTTGCATAAATTGATTGTTAAATGAGCTCTTTGATTGTAAACGTTTATATATGTTTTGAAAGCTGTATGAGTAATTTGTAATTTAAGCTATACATTGTCGTGTTTTACCCTAATAATTCTGAAACCAATAGATAGATTCGCATTTCTGGTGATTAATGTTAAACGTAATAAATTATGTTTAAAACTTAGTGAACTGATTCGTTGTTCTGTAAATTAATTTAAAACTTATAATTTTTATTGTTAGGGTCATGAACAAGATTTAACATTTGTGAGTTTATGTAACATGTTCGCCAATTAAATTGCAAGTTAGTAAATTGGTTTGTTGTTTGAAAATAAATTGTACATTTAGAAAATGAATTTTTACAATGATGTAAAGGAATTTGTACTTCAGGGCATATTTATATTTGGATAAGTTTGTGCTGGATCTCCGGTTCATAATATGTGGCCAAGTGAAGGTGATAGATGATAGAATTAGGTCTTGCCTACTCTTCGGCTCCTTTATCTCGGTGTCTGCACATTATGATCCTTCTTCTGTCCGATCATATCATATCGCCGTTTTTCCATCGTTTCCTCGCGGCTTTCCGTCTCCGTTCAGGGAGCATAGCTTCGGATCGCTGTCTCGGCGATATCAGTTCTTCTTAATCGGTAACTCCGCCTGCGTAGCGCTTATAGTTAAATCAACTCATGCTGAGTAGCTAGTGTCATGCCAACTCAGGTTATCCGAATTTCTTCTTGGTTTATACATTTACTGTTCAACTTTCGTACTTATTCTCTACGAGAGGATAGTTACATCGCTTCTCTCTCTCGTGAGATAAGCACACTTCAGTGTTCTCGTCGGAGTATTATACCTTCTATGCTTCTCATACTTCTTCGCTTGCCCTTGGTAAGCAATTTTCTTCTGTTGCGTCCCTCTCCGGTCGTAGAATCTTCCTCCTCTTTTTTCTACGATGTTCGTGTTGGAAATGATTTTTGGAACGGTAGTTTAACCGCGCCGTGTATAGGTCGGGGTTCTCTCCTCTCTCTCATCTCTCAATTCATTTTCGAATTGCTTCTCTAGGGAGATATTTATATTCTATCGCTCAGACTCTCTATCTATTTTAATATGCGCTGAGTGTCGTTTCTTCGTCCTCCTTATTCTTTACTTGATTAGTGTCCGTATTATCTGAGTCATCGTTTTATACATAGATATTCATTACTCCTACACCCCCTTAGGGGGTAGTTGACGCCTATGGAGGTTTAGCTTGCGCAACTATCGCGCTCTTCGCGAGCGCAATACATTATTCTCAAGTCGCGAGCGCGGGTCTAAGTGTGTTCTACAGGTGATGGGTCTCCCTTTCGTCAGGGACTTCTAGACTATATCGGCACTACCAAACACGCTCGCAGTCGATATTTGTATGATCGTCTAGCTACATGTATTATGAATACATCTGGCTCCTCGCATAGCTCGACAGCGGATATGTGATATCCATCTCATATACGGGACTTTGTGTCCTTCGGAAACATCCGTAATTGAGAGTTAATCTTTGTGCTCACGTGTGGAATATTATAATATGATTTTGCTCTACTCTCTGCTTCTGGAATTTATGTTGTAGATACCATGTACCCTTGTAACCATATATTGATATCCTTGTGCTGAGAAGCGATAATAACTAAAGCGCTCAACTTTGTTGTTTGTAATTAACTTTCATTGCATTTGAAATGCTTTAAATGGATTTAAGAATTGGTGTTATTATGAAATATGTTATTATAATCCGCATTTTGTGTTAGAAGGTGGGAGTGGCTCTTAGCATATGATTCTCCACGCAGGTTCCTGGCATACATCTTCCAGTGTCGTTCATGTGTGGTAGGGATTTGTCGTTCGTTGACCAATTAAGATTAGCAGATCTGCTGGCATTCCAATTTCTCGGCCGAAACATCATCAAGTTCGGGATGTGCATCTCCTAGTGTCGCTCTGGATCCTGCAACATGGATAGTTCGAATACGCTGCAGAATTACAGAGCGAGATCGCAAGCACCAAGCAAATTATAGAAGTGAGATGGAACGTCCAAGTCCGAGTTACTAACGGGCTCGTGTTTCTAGTCTAGAATTCACCTACGTCCATTTGCTTATAAGTGGTTTTCGTATCGTGGCGATAGTTAACGCTCTCGCCACATGTGCTCTACTTGTCTCTTGTGGGGACTTGTGTCGGCTCCGGTTATTTGTGATATAGGCCCACGCTATAGTCCACTCTTGCCACGTACTTGGACTTGTGTTCTCATCGTGACTCCCGGACTCGCAATACTATTACACAGCATTCAATGCAGTGGCACATACCGGCGTTCTAGTGAGAGAGCTTGTCGCGGATTGGTTTTTGTCCCGCGTTACAACGGTCTGTGAGTGCATTGTACGCATCGGAGGCCTTCTCGTCGGTTGACAGATGGACAGTCTCGGGAAGATTTACAGGCCCTATAAACTTCGTGGTCGGGAATTACACGTCGGAGCGGTATGCCTGGTGTTTAGTGGGGAGGGGTAACGCGCGTCAGCTGTGTGTAGTTGCTGGCATGATTGTGGGTGATTCAGCTGCAGGCCAACGCGCGTGAACAGCATTCGATACTGATGTTCCTCTCGACTGAGTAATAACTCTCCGCTCGGGCACGACCGGAGGCGGATTGTATGTAGTTGTTGCGTCGTCGGTCGGTATGTGGTTTTCCAGAAAATCGATCGCGGTTCTCTTCGGGCGTCTTTCGTCCGTTTTTGGGCATGTGCGCATAGTATCGCACTTTGCGGCACCTCGCGCATTGCTCTCCACGTAGAGCCTGGCGAAGTTGAATCGGTTCTGGCGAGTGTTTTTGATGGTCTTCAGACTCTGAGATGTCCTGCCATCCTCCCTGGCAGTGCAGCAACTCTATGCTCTTTCGGCGCATCACAAAGCGGGTGCTACTGCTGCATTAATCGTTACGCTGAGTTCGCTTTCGGGGTCCACTTTCGGTACAGGATATCCCTCGCTGGAAGTCCGTTCGTTCAAAGTAGACATCCCAGTCAGCAATCTTTCTCTTCGTTGATCGAGCCTCGGCCAAGGCATCGTATGACGTTCCGGGTCAACGTGTTTTCGTTGAAAATCGCGGAATCAGCCTGAAGAGTGAGCGTCTCCCTGCTGCCCGCTCCACGGGCCTAGCTGGATTCCATGCTGGTTGTGGTCGCGGCTGTTCGCGGTTCCATAGCGTACATGCTTCCTTCGGTCGTTTCGTCCGCGGCTTCAGACGAGGCGGTCTCCTTCGGCTATTCTGCGTCCGTCCGCCAGGTCTTACTCGTGTCCACCCGCCCGTAGCGATGACTCTTTGTCTTCGTCTTACCGATTCCGCGGACTCTTCTCCTCGTCCTCCGTCGGTCTGATATCGGCCTTTTAGAGTCCGGTGGGTTCTTCGGCCGTTCCTTTCGCTCTCGGCCTATATACCGTTCACTTTGCTTTCGCGTACCTTGTGTGTCTCGTGTGCTCGTCATGCTCTCCTGTATTCCGTCTTTAGGTCTCACCGCATCTTCACTGTCTCCTCGGCGACGGTGTCTCAGCGCTCCTCGGTGTTACTGTCATGTGTTGTCGCCTTTCCTGTCCTTCGTGATATATACTAGTGTCTCGGCCGTCCCGTCTCTCGTCTCACGGTAATTATTGCTCTTTGCGCTTTCGCCCTCGGGACGATTTCTCTCCGCGTAGTGTAGTCTTCTGTGGTCTGTGTCTCGGCTCCTCTCGACTCGATTCCTTTCTGCTGGATTGGCGTCTCTTGCTGGTTTTTCCGCGGCGGCCATTCGGCGCTTCTCCTTCTTTAGGCGGATCTCGTTCCCGTGGCCTTCTGGTCAGGCTTCTATAGGTAACCATTGCCCGTCGTGCCGAATGTTGCCGTCTACCTTTTCGTCGGAATCGCTGCTCGGTCTCGGTGAGTAACGTCGTGGGCCAATGCGTGGCTCTGCGCCGCTCTCCTCTGAGTTATCGATGCGCCTGACCATCTCCGATTGCGGACTCCTTGCTAGAGTTCTGTTCTACGCGGCTCGTGTCGTGCGCTCCCGGATAGTATTTCTTATGCACTGGCTTTCTTTTTATGCTCTCGGTTGTCACGTGTGAGCTATAGGCTTGTTTTTCTCTTTGCTGGCTAGCCTCTCCACGTAATCGCGGTCTGGCTAGTCACCTTTCGGTATCCCCGAGTATCCGTGGATGATACGACTGCCCGGGCGGCATCGCGGCAGGGCCAGCTGAGATTATAAATTACTCCGCACGCGAGTGGTTCCTCGCAAATATGTTCCCTTCGCGCACGGTTAGGGAGGGCGTATGGCGCGATGAACCTAACTCCAGTGTACTCGGCCTGCGAGTTGAGGGGCGGCGATAGAACTCCGGCGGTGAGGCGAAGAGTTTCGCCAAAATGGAAGGTCGAAGCTGGAACTGACGCCTCGTGAGCTCGCCGGAGTGAGGCTGCTCGCGGATAAGAAATCATCTCCCACGATGCGATTGACGAAGGTTTCGCCGAGGAAGGGCGAAGCTGAACTAACTCCGTGAGCTTCGCCGGGAGGCAGGGTCGTGCGATCTATCTGCTCGTGGTATTGCGTAATATTGCTGATTATTGCGTATTATGAGCGAGGGCTGGGTTCATTGCGCGGACACCCCGCACGAAGGCGCTGCCACGCCCAAGAGATGGCCGCCTTCGATCTGGCGCGCCGCGCCCACTGTCCCGCAACTAACCCACGCGTTCCACATCCTCGGTTTCACCGCGACCACCTGTAACGTCGTTTCTCTTCCCTGGCTGTCCGTTGACTTGACTTGCCAGCATACCATTGGCCCGTAACCGTATAGGTCCGGTGGCGCCGTCTGGGTCTGTCGCCCCTGCACCAGCCGGCAGTTAACACCCTCGTCCTTTTACGCAGTTTGTCTACAAGTGATCGCGACGAGGCAGAGCGCCAAACACGCGCAGCGCCACGGGAAAGGGGGAGGATTCGGTCACGAATGAGATATACGGAAGGGATGGGGTGCGCGGTCACGAAGTGAGAAGTAATATAGTAAATAATTATGCGAAGTAAGGTTTAATATTTATTAGGTTTAATGCGTGCTAAAACAAGCAATTAACACATTTAACCAACACTACAGCACAGCAACACGCTTCGCACCGAGCCCGACTCGTGTCATCATCCGCGCGCGATTTCGACGCGCAAGACCATCATGCACCGTAAACACGCGAGACTATAATCACTACGTGCGATTTTGAACGCCAGTTGCTTGATACATGACATAATAAGTTCGAAATAACAGATCACTTCGCTTATCTGTATAGACGCTCTAACGAGGAGTGTCACTTTTGGTGGGGCCCCTGGCTGTACAAATGATGCGAAAGCTCGGTTCGCGGGGTGATGCCACTTTGTTGAGCCGAAAAACCCCGCGACGTTGTCAACTTAGCCTTGCTGTAGTAACGGAGTTTAGCCTCATCACAACTCTCCGATTGTGTACTGCGCACACTCACCGCACACGCCCAGCATATTATTATCTACTACATCAGTTATACAGCCATCGCCTAACGCAACATACGCCAGCTATTATTATTCCCCTCATATACAGCCTGCTCGCTAACAACATACGACCAGCATATATTACTATGCCCCCTCAGTATACACGCCATCAGTACACAAAACACACGCACCAGCTACCCCCTCCCCCCACTCTCCAATTATGTACTTACCCCCTCCACGTATACAGCAGCTTTCAGCTAACAACATACGCCAGCTATATTATTTACCCCCTCAGGATTAGCGCGCCTATACAGCATCAGATATATGAAACACTAATAGTAATACTAATACACCATTAGTCTAGCCTATGATTCATGGATGTCTCAGTCTTGAATATTTCAAGCACGCCTTGGTAAACGTACCTATTCTACCTCCCTACAGCGTATACACTTCCGGCCACCACTACTCTGCTAGTACTGTTACGCGCACTTATTGAAGATCTCGCATTGAATGATCCACGACATCTGCCGAACACTATTACAAGTAATGCACATGCCACGATTTGATATCGCCCGCACACATTCTATAAACACAGACTGCTCTCCACAGTAAACCTCCGGACGTGATCTCCTCTTTGTTCGCGCCCTTTTCGGCTATTGTTTGTGCACTTCCTGGAACTGTCATCTGCAGAAGTGGATATACACGATTGGTCTCATTGCCGGTACACTCACTAGCGCCATCTCTCGTGAGATAAACTATAAACACCCGCTTACAGCATCGCACCAGATCTAAAAGCGAATCTTGCCTTGACAATACCTTATTATTACATTAGACACTCCGTTTGACAGTAACCACAAACGAGTTAATATAGCGTAGGGCAGCAAATAAATAGCTGAGAAAAACGTAAATCGGTATTTATGCCGTGCGCAGCGTGCGAAATGGAAAGCGTGATTAACTTTCGTCCACTCTTCACATTTCACCCGGCGTGAATGGCGGCTGCAGCAAGAACATTTGCGAACAACAGAGGATTAATCGAAAAGAAGACACGAGAGACATCTAACTAACTTTTTTCCCCGTGAGCTCCGCGCCGGAACAACTTTCACATTGACGTACGTTCTTTCAATTCTAACGCGCTCTTCGCACCTTTGTGCGTTCTGTGCAACGCGCACGCACTATTGGGTGACGTGAGCGTCTTCTCATGCGTAGGGTGCACGCACGCGCCGATCGCACCTGCCACGACACGCTACCGCAGTGCGGTCATCTCAGTGTTAGGTTAGTAAGTTTAATTCTGGCGTAGTATACCCACCTGGTGCGCGTATCTGCCGCGCACGTCGCGTGCGATAGAAAGCGTGAATTACGTTCATCACCTATCACATATCGACCCCTCGTGCGGTTGCTAGAATAACATTAGCGAACAAGGAGTGACTAACGGACTGAGGACGTGAAAACACGCGCGACTAGACGCAAGGTGGAGCCGCCTCGCTCGCTCGCACAAGATGGCGGTTTCGTGATGGAAATGTGACCAGACTATAACGGAGGAATGATGGCAGTGCCGGATGCTAGAAACCCTTGAATCAGTGTAAAGACTGGATACCTTTGGGAGCACGCAGAGCTCGTACGCGCACCCGTAGCAGAGGACTTAATCGGAGCAATCTCCGCCTCGATCGTGACTGGCTCTCCATAGACAACTGCCAAGCTAGGTCTATTCATCGAGTACTTTTCACTCTCGCCAAACCCGTTCCGATTACCATTGTGTGCATCGACTGCGTTTCAAATACGCGTGACTCGAACTGTCACTCGAACAGGACTCGAGTACGGGCTCTCTACATTCAACTATCTACAGACGCGCTAGGGCTCGACCATATGCGATAACCACAAGGTTACGATGCCGTGCGGCAATACATGGATCAATCGTCAACTAAATTATGTTAATGAGCTTCGCGAAGCGCATACGATACTCTTCTATTAGAAAGAGAACAGTGCGCGTCATATAATAGGTCTAAGCAATTACCGTTCTTTTTCGTGCGCGTGAAGGACAAGAACGCAGATCACACTTATGCTGTGTATATGACGGTGCGGCGTGTTCTTTCTCATTTTACCTGTACATATACTATTCTTAGATCCGCAGACACTGCTTTGCAGACGGCACAGTGTACGGCACTTTCCATGCTGGCTACTCGGTGCTCATCTCATCCGATTCGCGCTCGTGGGTGGCGGGGGGAGCAATCAAACATCTTTTCATTCTAGAGAACGGGCCCTCTGGTTGGGCCGCTGTCCGTATATCTACCATTTCATCGGACATACGTCGCTGTCAGCCGATCTGGCGACGTGTTCCGCTCTATCTTGTCGATGGCGGCGGCTATTAGATGCGTCGGACGGTAAAAGCGCCGTCTCGCTCTCACTGGGCTCGTCTGTGCAGACACCTGGCATTTGTCGTCACGCTGTCGTGCGCGTCCACACAATGTTCTGCCGTCGCTCGCTTCGCTGGCATCCTTGGCTTCGTAGAATTTCGGGAGCATGTTTATTCGGCTAGCTTATTGTTTAGACGACTTGTTACTGCTCCTCTAATATATATGTGCCGCGATGAGACCTGGCAAGTTAAATGAGTATTTGCGTGCGCGTGTACGATGAGTGCGTATGCGTACAAAGAATGAGTTCCTGGGTCGGTTAATGCGTCTTCGCGATGAGCATTCCGGTGTCTTTGAGCTCGTACACCAGATTCTATCCCATGTGATGTCTACAATTTCCCGTCTTGAAAACGGAATTGCGTGAATGGCTGCGAGCGATTATATTTGGATACTGACTTGTGTTTGTGGTGTAGACGTGTCTATATCTATGTCTATATCTATATCTTTTATATAGAACTACTTATATATAGGGGGATACCTATAGATAGTCGGGACTACCTCGCGCAACATTTCATGCTCTAATTCACAGGGAGGGCTTCATATTGCACAACACGCAGTCGTATTTGTATATCACTACCAACTTTTTCGAGGCAATCCAAGAACCCCGCTTCCTGTTGCGATATTGATCGGACGCGTTCAGGACCGAAGCATCCGCTCGCAGTTCTGCCGGAAGTCGTATCGAGCGGGGATTTAGTAATGTACTTTCCGGCAAAAAGCGAGGCGACGCGGCAACGTCGCACGTGCGAGCCGAGCTGTGCGCGCGATTGAACGACGATTACTCCGCGGCGTTCCGCACATATTTACGCGAAGATCGATCAAAGATCGATGATGCGTTCGACTAACGAAGCGTGCGTACAGGTACGCATTTCTAAATTAGTGGGGTATATACGCCCTAGTATTTATCTTTGGGTTAGTTTCAAATTATGCGCGACGACGTCGGGTTGATGCAATAAAACAGAGAGACAAAATACGGTCGTAACGATGGTAGGCGATGCTTCGCGTTAACAATAACACACGAGCCGCTCGCTCGTATATGTATCCGCTATGCGTCGTATATGTATAGCATATGCGCAGTTCTTACGCAGTCTGTTATTTATATACGCCGCGGCAGGCGCGAGCACAGCTGGTATAGCAGTACGTACGCGCCGATAGCAGGATTCATCTCTGACGGAGGCGGGATACATGAGTAAGTAGCTGCTGCCTGTTCAGACCCGCGGCCCGCCCCGACCTCTCAGTATAGCCCATGCTCACGGAGTAACCGGCATCGGGAATTCGTCCTGGTAAGTGCCGCTGCGAGTGCTATACCGAGATGGTAAAATATCGTGCAGGATGCATGGTGATCCGTCTCTCATAATATTATCTGAATTTGTTTGACATCACGTTCATGTTGTAGGACGCCGGTTGTGTGATTTCGCATGGTAAGTTGATAGTGCTGTACGAGTCTCCGCGGACGGATACAGGACAACTCTGGTGGCAGTCCAACGACATATACGTCTCCAAGTCGGGATTTGTGCGAAAGAATGAAATGAAGTCGTGATTTGTGCAACAGAATGAAATGAAGTCGTGATTTTGCGAATTGCGACATGTCAAGTCGAAAAAATCTTTTGTTCATCACGAGATTCAAACAATGGTTCCCACACGTCGACCGAAATGGATCATGTGACCCACAAGATACCAACACCAGAAAACGGGACATAAATAGCCGAATTCTCAACGGCCGATGAAGAAGACACGATTACGTGGTTTTTCGATCTAGACGCGGGTCCGATGACAAATCTTCGCGTGGAGATCAACGCGAGGATTCGTAAGAAGACTTCGTTTACGTACTCGGAGAGATCGTGAACCATGGCACCGAGTCGGTGCAGGCAGTGTTGAATTTCGGAGCTCGGCAGCGGGGCCGAAGAGGCGGTACGGGAAGGTCCGCATCGCAGCGAGCGGCTATTACTGGCTCGCGGCGGGCCGGGAAACCCGACACGGCGTCTGCTGTTCTCTTTCCCGCTGGATTATTCAACAGGATTTCTTCAGGCTCCGTTTATGACGCATCCGATCCAGCATTTCTCCGCCCCCTCTCGATCTGCCTTCCTTGCCCTCGCTCTCTGTTTGTCTGACTGTCCGTCCATCCGTCTATCCGTCTGTCTGTCTGTTTGTTTGTCTGTCTGTCTGTCTGTCTGTCTGTCTGTCTGTCTGTCTGTCTGTCTGTCTGTCTGTCTGTCTTCTGGTCTGTCTGTCTGTCTGTCTGTCTGTCTGTCTGTCTGTCTGTCTGTGTCTGTCTATCTGTCTGTCTGTCTGTCTGTCTGTCTGTCTGTCTGTCTGTCTGTCTGTCTGTATGACTGTCTATCTGTCTGTTTGTCTGTCTGTGTGCATGGGACGGAGGGGCGTGCTTCCTTATCTGTGTCTCTTTCTCCCATCCTATCTCTCTCTCTTCAATTCTAAACCATGTCTCGTTTTGTCAGTATTTAATTTTCTCTCCTTCTCCTAATTGTTCAGAAACGTTTTCATAGCCCGATCTGTTTTCTTAGTATGCGGGAATGCGAAAGTATTTATATTTACAATGCTGTTTTTTTATATTTTTAACGCTCGCTGAAAAGTGGTTCGCGCTGCGTTCTGACGCAGCCACCGTGTGTATACTTGCCGAGTTCTCATGGACTCCGGATTTGCATAAGGTCTTTTCAAGATGTACGGTAAACGATTTTTTCAATTTTAATGTTTGTTCTTTTGGTCGTTCACCGGGTCTACACTCTTAACGGCACTATCTATATGGGACAAATTTTGGGCCGTATTTCTTAATTGCCACCCACAGTAATATCGCATTTCTACTAACGGAAGCGCCAGGAATCGCGGCGGGTCGCTCGTAGTAAACTCTGCCAGCTGTACATGGCATGTGACATCATCTATTAATAGGCAGACGCTGCTGAGTTCGGGTGGGATGCTGAAGCACTGACCCGCTATGTGGTCCGTGAGTAAAAGCCAGCCGTAGCAACGAACTCTTTATCAATTTACCCTAAGGCGCAGAACTCCCGCGAAAAAAAAACACATTCCAGCTCTTACCGAGAAACAGAACACGACGACGATGTGAAGTTATCCTAGCTCGATGTCGCCTGCTTTTAATTTTCCACGTAGTAACGTCGCTAATGATCTTTTCGCGGTGCAGAGTAGAGCCGTACAGATTCTTGTTCCATCTTAGTCAGCGGGATATATCCGCTCGTACTGAAGTGAGAGCAATGTACCCGTACACAGTGATATTCCCTCTTGCTGCTTACACCACCTAGTGTTTAGACCAGGGGTTCTTAACCTGTGGTCCATGGACCATTTGGGGGGTCCGTGGATGCATGGGCTTCAGGAGGTCCTTGAACCAGGCGCATAAAATTGTGTGTTTATGTGCTTATGTGCATTTTTCTAGTGAGGAGTCCGTAGCTTTCACCAGATTCTCAAAGGGGTCCATGACTCAAAAAAGGTTAAGAACTACTGGTTTAGACCATCCGCCTACAATGGAAATCCGACAGTTATGACTCGGAATGTTAATCTGTTCAATGTTTCTCAGGTCCGTTACTCTCTAAAGTTGTAATTAACATATAATAACTTGTTGTACTTAATATAATAGGCGGCCATACTTACGAAAAAATTCCCATAAATCAGCAGAAGTTTTTTTTACAAATAAGAATGCCATCCTCTGAATCCAAGTCGCAAGTGACACCATATATGTTATTACCAAAAAAATTCCTCCATACCATAATTTTTCTTGTAAACAACATTTTCCCAGCACACACTCGAAATGGCCAATTTGCAATGTGAATTTGCACAAAAAATAGGCTTTCTTTCTGAAAATTTCCCGGCCGCACCAGCAACGCACCTCGAACGAGCCGTTTACACTGTCGGATTCAGAAAAGATTCTAGTTTCTGAAATTAACAATTGCAATAAGTTCTAACCCTTTCTAATGAGAAATACCAAATTCAAGCGCACGCATACACTCAAATACGATCTCATTCTTGTCCTCCTTCTCGTTCTCCTTCTTGTCCTCCTTGTCCTCGATCTCATTCTTCTCATTCCTGTCCCAGCGCTGATTGGCTGATTTGCCAGCGTGGTACCAATAGCGTATCCATCTGAGCTGAAGCATCCGGGCACTTTTAGAATGAATTGATTTGAAGTTTGGTTTTTAGTTGGCTGGTTCGGAAAGTGTAGTGAATAGATTGCAAGTCCTATGAATTGATCGTTTGGCACACGGACCGGAAACAACAGAGTGGGCGGCAAATTGTAAACGTTAGTAAGTGATTTCAGAGGTCTTGAATAGATTGGAAGTTGCATAAATTGATTGTAAACGTTTATATATGTTTTGAAAGCTGTATGAGTAATTTGTAATTTAAGCTATACATTTGTCGTTTGTTACCTAATAATTCTGAAACCAACAGATAGATTCGCATTTTAGTACAGCTGCTATCGTCCAAAAAATAGCTGAATTGTTCACTTTTGTGATAAAA